GCAGCCTGGTGTGGGGGCCCGGGCTGCAGGCGGCCGTCGTCCTGCCGGTCCGCTACTTCTACCTGCAGGCGGTCAGCGCGCAGGGCCAGAACCTCACTCGCTCGCCCCCAGGTAGCGTCGGGCCGCGAGCCCCCGTCCTCCCCGCCGCCCGGGAAGCCGGCCGCGCCGCTTGCGGCGGGGGGCCTTCCTCCTCTCCGGTGACCTTCCTTCCGACCTGCTGGACCCGGTGTAGGGAGGGAGTGGCCGCAAAAGCCTGTTCAAACGCGGGCAGGAAGGCGCATGCCTGTAATCCCAGCGCTCGGGAGGCTGAGGCAGGAGGACCGCCGCGGGTTCGAGGCCAGCCTGGGCTACTTAGTGAGGTCAAAGGCCACCTAGGCTACTTGTGGAGATCCTGGTTCAAAAAAAAAAAAAAAATCCATTGAATGAATGCATGACTCTAGGGGCCCTTTCGAGTTTTAAGTGCAGGACCGAGGTTCGGAGGAAGGGCGCCAGGGTGTTGGGATGACGGCGGTGTGAGTCAGAGTTGGAGAATGGTCCCTCCGCCTCCGACCCAGATGCCTGAAGGGTTAGGACAGCTGGGAGCGCCTTGGAGGCAGGCGTCGTCTCGGATTACAGGGATTTTGAAACCCCAGACTCCCGCACAAAGAAGTCGGGGCGCTGGGCAGAGGCCGTTCTGCAGGCAGTCTCATTTCTTTCTAGTTCTGAGTTCTTGAAAGCAGATTAAAGGGATTAGTGAAATTTAGTAGAAATCATTGACTTTTTCTCTGCAGAGGATGGATCTCACCCAGAATCTCTTTCTGATGGGTGTTCGTCTCACCTTCTCCGCATTTTACCTTTGCAGCTTCTTAGTAACTCGCCCTACTGGTTTTAAGTTGTTGCCAGTCAGGATTTGCTAATTTATATCAAAGTTTTGGGCGCCTGCCAACTGGTCCTCCGCTAGTGCGGCTGGGAACTTCTTGACTCCGGAAGGGGGCCTGGGGTGTGGGAGGCGGGGAAGGGGGCATAAGGGGAGTAATTACCCAAAGTGAGGGGTTTTAAGGGTGAAATGTGAACTTAAATTTCCTTTTTGAATTCACTCATCCAACAAGTGCTCATTTGCTGTTTTCTTACTGTGCGTGGTAATCCTGGGGATGTAAGGCAGTGCCAGCCCATCGGGGCATTTGCAGCTTGCTGGGCAAACGGATTCCGAAGTAACCCCGGCTCACCGTACAGCATAATTGCTACCACGGAGGCAGAGTGCCGTGGAAGCACGGAAGAGCCGCCGTAATCGGCCTGGGGACACCTAGGAAGATTTCTGGTGTAGAAATCTGAAGGATGCCAGGGTTTGCTTGCGGGCAAGCAGATGACTTGTGAGGTTGCTCAGAGTCAGAAGAACGTGGAGTTCAGGAAAATAAAATAAAATGAAGACACCAAGCAGAAAGAGAAAGTCAGGCTGCAGTTGGAAATCTTCGAGGATCTTGAACCCCAAGCAAAGGATCTTTAGAAATAAAGGAGAGTCACTGGGGAATTTTGAGCTGAGGCATGACAAAAATCTGCCTCTAACTTAACTACTTCAGTGACTTGCTTTGTTTGTATTTTTTTACAGACAGGTTCTCACTGCGTAGCCTAGGCTGGCCTTGAACTCAAGATCCTCCTGCCTCAGCCTCCCAGAGTGCTGGGATTACAGGTGTGCACCACCATATTAAGTGAGACGTTGTCAAATAGTCACTTTCACCTTGTGCAGGTTAGAGAATAAATTGGTAAAATGTTCCTGGAAAATAATTTTTCCATATCACTTGAAGAAACTAATCCAAATAAGGTCAAAGATTGATGTGCAAGAATACCCCTGTAGCGCTAATTATTTATTATAATTATGATAACAGCCAACCATAAGATAATTGCTAAATAAAGTATGGTGCATTCATGTAGCGGAATGTTTGAAAGTCTTTTTAAAAAGTAAGCTTTTAGCCTGGCTTGGTGATCGACGCTTGGAGTCCCAGCACTTGGGAGGCTGAGGCACGAGGATCGCCTCAGGTTCTAGGTCAACTTGGGCTATATAGTGAGTTGAAGACTAGGCTGAACTACACAGTGAGACCCTGTTTCAAAAACTAAGTTCCTTTTAGATTCCACTTATAGAAGTTATCCCAGTAGTCGAGTTTGCAGAAACGAGTAGAATAATGGTAGTTGCGGGTGGGTGGCAAGTTGTTAAATGGGTATAGAGTTTCTGTTTTGCAAGGTGAAAAGGGTCAGTAGATCTCTTGTACAACAATGTGAATACATCTGACACTCTGAACTGTATACATATATCCTTAAACGTAGGATGCATCTTGGGATACAACTTAGTGGTAAAATGTTTGCTCAGAACATTCATGACCCTAAGTTTGGTCCCCCGCAATGGGGGAAAATGTTAGGACGGTAAACTTTATATTATGTGGCTTACCACAATTTCAAGTGTTTAAAATAATTTCATGCTTTAAAAGATTATTAAATGGTGTTTATATTAGCTTAAGGGAACACTGGCGGTAGCTACACACCGTACAGCGGCCTCCTGCTATGATGGCTGGAGGGCTGCCTAAGATGGGGGCAGCAGCCAATCAACAACAAGGAGGACTGAATAACGCACTCAGATTGGCTGCTTGCAAACTTCCCGCCAAAAAAACAGTGGCGGAGGATATTCTCAGTTTCAGCGAAATTGCAGGGGTTCCCTGGGAAAATTAGGGCCGGAGGAAAAAATCCACAAATGACTGAGGCCTCGAACTCTAAACCTCGACCTCATGGGAGTCTACGGTATACAATTCCGATTCTTGGCCGCCATTTCTTTTTTTTTTTTTTTTTTTTTGGTTTTTCTCCGGGACCGGGAACCGAACTCACGACCTTGTGCTTGCCAGGCAGGCGCTTTTGCCGCTGAGCTAAATCCCCAGCCCCTTGGCCGCCATTTCTAACACTGTCTTACTACCTTTTATAACATCCCCCCTTTTTTTTTTATTATGGTTCGCTTTTTGAGCAGATTTCTTTATAATTTTGCCACACTTGTTTCAAGGATCCTAAAATCTATGAGTTTGGTCTTTACTTAATTGTAAGGTGTCAGATACTACATTATTGTAACTAAGTTGAAGAGACTGAGAAATACTACTCCTGACCTACAAAAAAAATAAAACCGTTGATCAACAGAATCTTATACTCACTGGGTTTAGAAACTAAAAATAGAAGAAATAAGGTTTTTGGTGATTTAAAAAATACATATCTTAAATATGCTTCAATTCATAATAGGATAGATGTGAGACCAAAGGCAACTTTGATCACAGCTTACAGTCTGGTAGGCTGTGGATTTCAGAGGACTCCCCGCTATTCTAGCATTCCCTTTGATATAGTGACCTCTGTGGTATATCTACTGTACACTGAAGAAAGAGGCTCTGATGCTTATTCCTGGGCTGTCGTAGCATTAATCAGCTCACTATTGTTTCAAAGTCTAAGTCAGCTAACAGAAAAGAGAAAGTTTTTTAAGTACTTACCTGGAACAGAAAATCCACAGAATTTTGGAGTTAAGAAGGTGTTATTATAGTATAACTTTCCCTTCAAACTGAGGAAACAGGACCAGAAAAGTAAACTCCAGTATTTACAAAGATGTGTGTGTGTGTATGTGCACATGTGTGGTGTATGTGTATTTATGTACGGTCTGCGTAACTAGGTGTATTTTCTCTACCTAAGAAAATGTGCTCAGCAGAAGCACTTGGAATTTGGGTTAAAAAGAAAAATTTTCTTAGAAATGAGGGTTATTTGGTATTGAAATGGTAAACAAAGAACACATAAAATTTACAAGGAGAAAATGGGATTATAACAGAAGTCTCTCATTCTTAGAGTTCCTGGATTTTTAACTCCCTAAGCTTTAGTACTATTTAAGGGAGAAAAAAAATCAAACAGGCAAAAGTTCATTTCTTTTTTTGCCTTTTTTATTAATCGATTTTGTTCATTCAGTAAATCTTTATTGAATGATTAATCAAATGTTAAGTCAGATATTTGGTTTGAAGACATGAACCAGGAATAAATAGTTCTTGGCCTCAAAGGATCTTTTAAGGTGAAATCTTGTTTATCATCAATGCTGTAGACAAAGTAAATCCTATATAGAGATATCTGTCCAATAATTAAGGCATAATAATTGGAAGTGGTAGAGTTATTTGTATTTCTTTCTTTCAGGTCAAACACTGTTCACAGTAGTAGTCAAACCTCTTTCACCTAAGGAGGTAGTCCGAATTCATGTCCCTAAGCCTTTGGACAGGAATGATGGGACATTTTTGGTGCGATATAGAATGTATGACACTGTCAACAAAGGGCTGAAGATAGAAGTCCTTTATGGTGATGAACATGTGGCGCAGTCTCCCTATATTTTGAAAGGTAAGTGATTATTACTAATCCAGAGCTGGCCTTACATGTAGGTGTCATGCCTTTCAGAAGGGGTTATCTTGACCCCAAAGTCATGTTCAACAGAATAAACATTGTAAATGTATGCCCTGATGTTCAATCTAATTGAAATTTTAAGGAAATGAAAAATAAAGAGATTTAAAGGAGGAGAAAAAGTGTATTTATCCATGTAGTTAACATTTCCAGCACTCTTTATACCTTTGTGGAGATACATGTTTCTATCTAGTACCATTTACCATTTACCTAGAGGATTTCATTAATGGTATCAGTTAAGAATTCAATAGACATATAAAGGAGTTACAGGGTAGGCGTACAATGACCACCTGCAGAGTCAGGTGTGGAAGGATGCAAAAGGGCTGTCTGGGTGCTAGAGAGCTGAAAGAGCAGACAAAGGTGGAAGACCTGGTGCTCACTGCAGAGTCCCATTGGAGTCTGTATCAGAAAGCCAAAGATTCTGCATTGGAAGACTGAAGAATCTGAGCTAGAAGACTGAAGACAGACATCCACAGGTGAAGGCAAAGACCAGAGCTCATCCAGGAAAGGAAAAGTGAGTCTTCCTTCTTTCCCTTTTTATTCCATCCAGGCTGCAAGCCTATTGGTTGGCATCACCCACACCCAGGGTGGGCCTTCCTTCCTCAATAAGTGCATCTTCCACTCCTAGAACTATGAGATGCCAACCAGCGGGGCATTTGTTTTCTTTTTTTCTTTTTTTTAAATTAAGTTCGTTGGTACATGTTAGGTATACATAATGATCACATTCATAATAGGGAATTTGTACCTGTACCTGATATAACTTGATTCTTTTTCTTTTCCCCATTCTCCTCCCCTCCTTTCAACCCCTCTTTGTGGGGCATTTCTTCCTCAAGTTGACACCATAGTTAACTATCACATTAACATTTCTCTTAGACTGGGAATACTGGTGGTAAATTGTTCCAGCTTTTGCATTTTTGAAGAAGTCCTTTTGCCTTCATTTTTAAAACTTTTTAGCTATAGAATTGTAAGTTGATGGATTTTTTTCCTTTTATTACTTTTAAAGCGGCAACTCCACTGTCTACTCTTGTGCATTATTTCCCACAAGAAGTGGACCAGGATCCTTATCTTTGTTCTTTTGTACTGCTTGTAAGATTTTCTCTTTGTGAGTTGTGTTTTTAAATTAGTACCTAATGTTTACATTCCTTGTAGGGAGTTAACAAAATACATCTTAATTCCTTTTTCACCCCCTTCCCTCTCCTCCCTCCATCTCTTGATCCCCTTACTCTTTAAGAGATTTTTTACTTCCTATTATATTTCATTTTGCTCTTTATTTATACTTCTCATATAAGAGAAAACATATGATGATTAAACTTCTGTGTGTGCTTTATTTGACTTAACATTATAGTCGCAAAGTGCATCCATTTTCCTACAAATGACGCAAGTTTATCTTTCTTTATGGCAGTGGAGTACTCCATTGTGTGTAATTACCATATTTTCTTGATCTATCTGTTGATGGACATGTAGGCCACTTCCAAGATTTAGCTATTGTGAATTGTGTTGCTATAAACATGGATCTACCTGTATCACTGTAACATTTGTAACTCTTTTGGGGAAAACACCTAGAAGTCAGGTAGCTGGCTGAAATGGAATTTCAAGTTTCAGTTTTTTGAGGAATCTCCACACTGCGTTTACATTCCCACCAACAGTGTAGAAAAGTTCCTCCCCACTCCTCAAGCCTTGCCAGCATTTGTTATTTGATTTCTCGATGATGGCCAGTCTTTCTGGGGTAAAATGGAATTCTCCGTGTTGTTTCAATTTGCATTTCTCTCATTTCCAGCGATGTTGAGCCTTTCCTCATTATTTATTGGCTATTTATACTTTGTTTTGAGCAGTTCGGTTGTGATACACCTTGGTGTTGTTTTCTTCCTGTTTCTTGTGGTTTGGTTTTTGAGTAGCTTCTTGGTTCTTTGAGTTTTTGGTTTTCAACAAATGTAGAAAAAATTTGACCATTATTTCTTCAGACATTTTCCATTCCACCCTAGCTCTCTTTTAATGATTTTGATTACCCGTATTTTACGCATTTTTTAAATTCTTTGTTTCATTTTGTTTGGCTTCCATTGCTGTGTCTCTAAATTCACTTATTTCCTGCAGTGCCAATTTGTAATCCTATTTCATCTCTTGATGCTTTTTTCATCTCTTGATGCTTTTTTCATCTCTTGATGCTTTTAATCTTCTTGAGCTTTTCCCCCTGGGATGCAACTGAGTTACCTGGAAAAAGTTTAATCCTTTAGAGTTACGCTGTACCGTTTGTTATATGGAATTACAGGCGTGCTTCATCTAGGGCTAATTACTCCTCGCTATGGAGGCACATCCACCGCATCCTCTCCCAGGTCCCAGGGGTCAGCAGGCTCTTCAGTCTGGCTGGTGTGAACAGGCACTGTTCCCACTCTGTGCGAACAGTAGCTTCGCTTCTTCTAATCATCCTAAACTGTTCTTCCCCTCCTTTGGGTAGTTTCGTACGCACGCACGCACGCACGCACACACGCACACACGCACGCACACACGCACGCACACCCTTATCCCACGCTGCTACGTACTCAGAAGCGCCCTCCTGCGGATCTCTGCAGTCCTCTGTGCTGTTCTCTCCTGTAACGTAATTTTTATGTTAAAATAAATATAGATACAATGTGAAGCAATATATTAAATTTGTATAAATTCTTTTTTAAATGAATCTTTGGAGATGTTCTATGCTTATGGGTGACTATTTAGGATTACGCTGCCCAATCCCTTAGGGTTACACATTTCCTTTTTGCGATATGCTGATGGAGGTGATTTTAGGAACTCAGAAGCGGAGACCTTGCTTCATTTTTAAAAATCACTACTCCTACAAGATTTTAGTGCCTAGAAATTAATATGCTTTTTTTTCTTGTTAAAAGGTAAGATTTATGTTCACGGTCCATTTAAATCTCTTCCACTGGAAGAGAACATATGCAATGCTAGGTTGTCCACAGTGACTTAAAGGGGAACAAACTGCCAGGCCAGCTGGTGTACACTATAATCCCAGCACTCAGGAGGCCCAGGCAGGAGGATCATGAGTTCGAGGCCAGGCTAGGCTACATAGAGTTCAAGGCCAGTCTGAACTACACAGCGAGACCCTGTCTCAAAAGGCGGGGGGGCAGAAATAGTAGTAAGGCTCTGACATGACTTGCACCTGACTTGTCTAGGGCAGCTTTCTCTGTCTAGGTAATATTAGGATTTACCCAGAAATGATCCCATGTTCACATCAGGGGTGGAAACAACTCCCTGTGCTGTGGCGCTGATTAACACAGCACAGTGCTATTTGTTTCGCCTTCCCTAGGACCAGTGTACCATGAGTACTGTGTGTGTCCAGAAGAGGATCCGCAGGCCTGGCAGAAAACTCTTTCTTGTCCAACCGAGGAGCCACAGATTGAAGAAGATTTCGCTCCCTTCCCCAGCATCAATCTCCAGCAGATGCTAAAGGAAGTTCCCAGAAGATTTGGGGAGGAGAGGGGTGCCGTTGTTCACTACACAATTCTCAATAACCACATTTACCGGAGATCTTTAGGGAAATACACAGACTTCAAAATGTTCTCTGATGAGATTTTGCTGTCACTGGCAAGAAAGGTATGAAAATGAATAGACGGGTTTCCAAAATACTATAATTGAATCATTTTGTTGTAACATTTAAGTGGTTAGAATTATAAAGGCAGAGGATGAAAATGGATTTTATGCTTTTTGCCATCTGAGTGTTCTAAATCCTCTGCCTCTGAGGCTTTCTCCTTCCTGAAAGATTTAAACTAAAGAGCTTGAGCCCCATCCCAGGTGGGTAGGCCCCACGGGGCATGGCCCTGGTTTCTCCCAGCTGTTTCCAGCCTGTGGGGCCCCGCCGTAAGTTTTCTGTTCTACAGGACACCATCACCTGCTACAGCTGTTTCTGTCTGTTTACTTCAGAATGACTTGAATTTGGAACATATTTTCCTCGTTTTACACTAGCCATCAGTAGAAGAGCATGTGTGTTGAAGTCTAGAGCAGTAGAGATTATTTTGTACCAGTGCATACTGAGAAACAAACAAAAACCCTAACACAAAAGTAGACATCCCCTATAGCTCAGCAGCACAATGCCTGCCTGGCAAGCACACGGTCCTGAGTTCGATTCCTGGTACCAACAAAAAGTAGACATCCCTGTACTAATGAGACTCCTCACTCATCCTGTGTCGGGGAATTTCTCGCTGGTGATTCCTGATCTTTAGATCTTGGCCTCTTTCTTCCTAAGGGTGGTTGGGCCCCCTTTCTTCAAACCCTCCCTATTCACCAGCAGTCCTCTGTTATCCCACTACTCGGCCCCTCTGTCCACATTTGCAGAATGCTGAATTCCTCCTCAGCAGAGCAGCTTAATCTATGTTCTGTTCTTTCTTGCTCCTGATCATGTAGGGTGAAAAGTCGAGGTAGGCAGTTTTGGTTATTCCCACCTAAAGAGACCAGCAAGGTAGTTTTTTAAACCAAAAACCAACCTTCCTGATCCACAGCTTCCCAAGTGTGCTGAAGGTGGGGCTGCCATCGCATCTTATTTTGAGCAGCAGTGGCTTTTCCCTGACCCTGGCCAACGCAGGTACGTGAGCACATTATGGGTGTCTCTTCCTGCACTACCCCAGGAAGCGTGCCTCTGTCCAAGTGTCCCGTGCTTGTGTTACCATCTCTATAGCTCTATAGCAATAATTTTCTTGTCTTTTTCCTTGTTCTTTTTTTGGTTCTGGGGATTGAACCCAGGACCTTTACTCTGAGCGATATTACCAGACCTTTTTTATTTTTTACTTTGAGATGGGGTCTTGCTAAGTCACTGAGTTGCCTAGGCTGGGTGGGAACTTGCGATTCTCCTTCCTCAGCCTGCTGACTGTGGGGATCACAGGCACACACCACCTTCCCTGCTGCTTCTCCTGGTTTTTTTTTGTCGTCGTTGTTGTTTTTCTGGTGCCGGGAATCAAACTCACGACTTTGCACTTTCCAGGCAGGCGTTGTGCCGCTGAGCTAAATCCTCAGCCCTCTTCTCCTGTTTTTAAATGATCAGCTCCATCAGAAATATTTGGAAAGTCCAGGAACTGTAATATTTAGTACCAAAGACTGAGGTCCTCCCAGCACTGATGTTTGGACTTGTGTTTACTTAGGTTCGTCTCCCAGATTTAGAATTTTATATTAATCTTGGAGATTGGCCCTTGGAACATCGAAAAGTCAATGAAAGCCCCAGCCCTATACCGATCATTTCCTGGTGTGGCTCTCTGGATTCAAGAGATGTTATCCTTCCAACGTATGATATCACCCATTCCACGCTTGAAGCAATGAGGGGTGTTACGAATGATCTCCTCTCTATTCAGGGAAATACAGGTAAATTAAGGTTATTCCAAAAGTAATGTTTGTTTCTTTTCTTTCTTTTTTTTTTTTTTTTTTTTTTATAACCAGGAATTGAACTCAGGACCTTGCACTTGCCAGGCATGCGCTTGTGCCACTGAGCTATATCCCTGGCCCCAAGAGTAACATTTGTAAAGAATTAAAAAAGTGAAAAGAATAATAGCATCCTTGGGACTAGGGATGTAGATCAGTGGTTGATTGCTCATCTAGCATCAGGAAAAAAAATTAAGTGCCAAACTGGTTTGTTCAAGATTCTTCTAATCCAAAATTGAAAGACATATTGGTTAGATTGCAGTGCCCAATCTGTCTTTACTTTTTTTTGTTGTTGTTGTTTTGGTTTTTTTCCTGTACTGCGAATCAAACTCACAACTTCACACTTGCCAGGCAGGCGCTGTGCCGCTGAGCTAAATCCCCAGCCCCAAAATCTACCTTTACTAAGTCTCCTTTGAGCTGGTTATTTGTAAATACCTTTTAAAAATAATGTACTTGGTAAAGTTTTCACTAAATTCTGACCCCAAGGCCTTTACATTGCTGAAAGAAACGAGGATTTTGAAAAGTAGAAAAGTTTAGGCATGTATATGAAGATTTTGATAATAAAATAATTTGGTTATTACATCCTCCAGTATTTTGTAAAGAATTATCCCCATTGCTTTTTCTGCCTCCCAGGATCTTTTAAAATTTAAATTGTTTTTCACTGCTTGATGACCTTAGATTTATGGTACAGTATACCCTTTTTTCAAACAAACTCCTTGGGTTGAACAAAATCTTGCCTTGTCTTTCTAGCTTTTTTTCTGTTTGTTGTGGTTTGGTGAACTTTTTTGGTAGACTAGATCAGAGACTGGTAAAACTATCAAAAGTAATATAGTATGAAACTGGCCAACTTTTAACTTCATAACAGCGAATTCCTAAAAATATACTAAAATAATAAAGAAAGTAATCTCAGTTTCTACATTTATAATTTTTTTCTCTTAGAACTCAGGTGTTAACCAATGATTTATCTGTTCAGAATAAAAGTAACAGATTTATATTAATTCTTCCAGAATATTCCCTTCCCCAAAGGAGAAGATATAAATAATATGCATATAGTTGAGTTATATATTTGCATTAACAGCATATAAAAAAATGCTTTCCCTGTGCTCAAAATTCTAAGCAACTTGAGTATTAAAGATTGGTGGGCTGGGTGTGGTGGCGCACACCTGTAATCCCAGCACTTGAGAGGCTGAGGCAGGAGGATCGTTGCAAGTTCGAGACCAGCCTGGGCTACAAAGTGAGCTCAAGGCCAGCCTGCACTGCATAGTGAGACCCTGTCTCAAAAAGACACACACACACACAAAAAGATTGGTGGTTGTTACTTGATTATACAGTTCTTTTCTGGTCACTTTTTCTAAGAACAAAAATCTAGCTCATTTTGATTGTGAAACAGAGGTGGGAGGAGTTATTACATCGGTGAGTGAGCCAAGTCATTGGATCTCTTTTTGCTTTGAAGTTGGCCCAATATTACTTTGGGTGTTTCTACTGTTGTACAGCAGAAAACACTAGTACTTGTGTGAACTCACATTAATAGACAAACGATGGAATTGGAAGCAGCAGATAGAAGTATCTTTGAAAGTATAAACTTGAAAGCATCTCTGGCAAATAAAGCCTTGATGCTGTATTTTCTTAGAAAAAGCACCTACTTTATAAAGTGAATTGATAAAAAAAGATCATTAATTTCTTAACAGTGGTGGATTAAGAAAGGCTATTGTACTTAGCACATACAGATGTCAAATTCATAATCATGACTTTTGTGGCCTCAAACTTCTAGGGCCTGCCTGGATCAATAAAACAGAGAAAGCTTTCTTCAGAGGTAGAGATAGTCGGGAAGAGAGGCTGCAGCTGGTCCAGCTGTCCAAGGAAAACCCACAGCTCCTAGATGCGGGAATTACAGGCTATTTCTTTTTCCAAGAGAAAGAAGAGGAGCTCGGAAAAGCCAAGTTAATGGGCTTTTTTGATTTCTTTAAGGTATGTATTTGAGCCTTCCTCCGTGGCTATGAAGTATAAATGCATGCTACAAGTCTACCACGTAGATGTGCTCAGCCGGATTTCTCCTGCCTTGTGAGCTGACAGACACCGTCACACTTCCCCACCACACTGAGGGAATTACACAAGCTCTGTGCCGCCTTTTGTTAGTAACTTTGTCCACCAGATACCTCAGAACTACTATATAATGGTCAGAGTATAGTAAGAGGGTTAACATGGGGTTTTGAGGTATTTGTTTCTCCTTTATTTATATTTAATAAACTAGGAATGTAAATGCATTATATAAATGCTTTCAAATGTCTTCTGCAAAGAGAGTTGGAATTCAGGAGGTACCGTTGGAATTCAGCTCCTGCGGCTAGTCCTGGCTCTGCCACTCACCAAGGACTTTTTTTGCTGAGGGCCTCTGCAGAGTATTTCTGTGAGGCCCAGAGAGATAGACGTGAATTATATGACCACCTCTGACTGGCTGGGAAACTCCTCATAGCAGCGATTTAAGCAACAAGGGGCATTTCTCTGGGCACCAGTTTCTCACTTATAAAAAAATACCTGCTTCCCGTTTTATACCTGGATGAGCTTTTTTTTTTTTTTTTTTTATTTTTTGGCTTTTCTCCGGTACCGGGAACTGAACTCACGACCTTGCGCTTGCCAGGCAGGCGCTTTTGCCGCTGAGCTAAATCCCCAGCCTGGATGAGCTTTAATGTCTATGAAAAGTGGCTTTGAAATGAAAAGCAAAGCACCTCCTTCTGCAGTTTTCTGTCTCAACTCTAAAACGAAAGTAGAGGCAATGCCTGCCTGTCTCATGGGTGAAATATAAGGAACCAATGAAATAATGTATAAGTGAAAGTACAAATTGTTATCAACATTCAACTTTAATAAACATAGAACTTTTGAAAATAGTTTTAGTAGCTAGTTACAGAAATCTAGATTCCCCATTACATAGATATACTTGAAATAGGTGTTCATTTCTACTTACTAACATGATCATCTTTAAATGCATTGTATTTCTTAAAATTGATCTGTTATAGGCTGCTTGTGATTTTAATACAGAGAAAAGTCACAAAATAAAACTTTGAAACACAGAATTTGAAAAGTGGAAAACAGTCCCTCTGTACTCAGTGTTACAGTGTTAGTGAGAAGCAGAAGGGAAACACAGGATTGTGAAGTTGTTTGGTTTGCTTCTGTTTTGTTTTTAACCTTTCAGTACAAGTACCAGGTGAACGTGGATGGCACTGTGGCTGCCTACCGCTTTCCGTACCTCATGCTGGGGGACAGCCTGGTCCTGAAGCAGGATTCTCCGTACTACGAACATTTCTACGCGACACTAAGACCTTGGAAGCACTATGTTCCAATTAAAAGAAATCTCAGTGACTTACTAGAGAAAGTTACATGGGCCAAAGTAAGTTCTCTGCAGTTTCATTTCTTTAGGCAATAATAGATTCTTCAGGATTGGTGACTTGACCTTTGTCACAAAACAGTTGAACTTAACATAATGGGATCAAAAGAAATATGATTTCCTGGAAATTTTTGTTCTCTTGAAATAGCTAAAGAATCAGCATCAGAATCATTTTGTATGCCCTCTGTCAATATTTTTGAAGCCTTTTGGATTTTATGTCCAGGGTTACATAGAATATAGATTCTCTGAATGAATCACTATTTGCGCTTACATACACACAAAAGAACATGCAAAATGCAAATCACATATTGAAAAGGCCAGTTAGGGGACTTTATGTTTAAAGTAATTATGGTAGTCTTGTTTTACTCACATAGATAAAAGGCACAAGTTCTTAACCAGTGCATATTTCACAATATCCAAGAACGAAGAGTTTCCCATAAAATAGGAATTCCTTTCTTAAAGGGAACAGCATTTAAAAGCTTTTGTTGTTTTATTATAAAACTCTACAAGTTCACTGCTCTATTATGAGACCATTCTGTTTCTGAGGATCTGAGAGGCAAAATTTGGTTTTGGAAATAGTTGAGGAATCACTCAACCATGTCTAGGAAATTACTCTGTTTCCATAGCCTCATTATTAAGTTCTATTCCATTATGTTCCAGCTGTCCCATGATGCTCACATTCAGCCTACACCTGTCCTACCTCACACTTGCCCCTGGCTTTCTTTGTGGGCTGTAGCAGTAATTTTCGTTCATTTTTTTAAACCCTTTAGGAAAATGATGAAGAAGCCAAGAAGATTGCGAAAGAAGGACAGTTGACTGCTAGGGACCTGCTACAACCACACAGGCTTTACTGCTACTACTACAGAGTCCTACAGGTCAGTTCAGAGTGTCCATCCTGCTGGGCAGGGGTCCCCAGGTCACACGCATGGCCTACACACTGTGTCCCCTACTTCCTAGACAAGTCAGCCCGTGTAACTCCACCGGCTGGGGCCGCAGCCCATGAGAAGAACGACTGGTGCTCAGTCCCTCTGTGGCCTCCGCATTTTAATCTCCACTCCCTATTAGGAAAAACAAGCTCGGAGCCTGTACAAACACAGACTAGCGGCTCCTCCCATCTCCCCAGAGTTCTCTGTTATTATATGCCCCGTGGAGCTCCGCGTGTAGGCCTTCGTGATTCTCAGAAAACTTCTTTCCTCGTCCAGATAACAAGTAGGTTAGAGTGGAGGTCACTGCTTTCCATTTCTGCTCAAATTGTTGCCTCCTCCTTCTCCTTTCTACTTCAGATCCGTGCCTTTGCCATCGTGGTACAGGGCAGAAGGCAGATATTTAGCTTATTATATAAAACAAGCAAATGAAAAATACTTGTAATAGTCCTGAATCCTGACCTGCACATCAAATTATTTTCCCTTGGCCAGAGTAGAGGTCAATTTCCTTACCTGTCTGTGGACACTGCCCTCTCAGAAGAATGACGGTGATACATTATGCCATTTACTGGAAGCGGCTCTTCCTGTCCTTAAATGAGTCCTGTCCTCTCCCCCGGCCTGGCTCTAATTTTAACAGTAGGCATATCTTCCCCTAAAATGTTCACTGGACTCACCTGCTCGTGTCACCGTCTTGTTGGATTTGGCCCAGTACCAGGAATGGCCGGATAATTTGGACACAACCACTGAAATGAAATAGGAAAATTTCAGTCAGCAGCCAGAGGAGGACATCTTCCAGGCGTGTCCCCATTTAGTGGATAGAAGTGACTGCACTCTGTGGGGAAGGGTGTGTGCCGCCAGCAGCTTCAGCTTGAAGTGCTTGTGGTCTTTGTTGCTGCTCTCTGACCTCAACAGTTTATTACTGTTTACAAGTGGAGGAAAAATGCCAAGAGCTGCTGTTTGTTCCAAGCAGGGGCATTTGGCTTGGCCTCTCTTTAGTAGAGTCTCTGAGTTACTCCTAAAATTGTGGATTCAGGTTCCTCGCTAGAGGGCAGGGTAGGGTGGACTAATCGTACATTTCCCTTGCAACACATTCCAGCAATATGCCGAACGCCAGTCCAGCAAGCCGGAGCTACGCGATGGGATGGAACGTGTCCCTCAGCCGGGTGACAGCACATCCATCTGCCAGTGCCACAGGGAAAGGCCTTTGAAGGAAGAGCTGTAATGCGGCCGCCCAGACCCACACTCCTGTGTGTCCAGCTACATCTTTGAGGGGAGACTTAAAGTAGATGCCAAGCTGTGAAGAAAGCGTGAAGGAAGAACTTTACCCAGGGACCACTTCTCGTGGTGGCTTTCTATAATGTGGGTGGATATAGCAATATTTGCTCAAGTATTACCAGTATCTTTGGGTATTAATTTCTTTTAACTAAAAACCTATTATCAGCATCAAAATTTCTCTGAAAAGAGCATTTGCAGATCATAGAAGGTAGAGCCTTGCCAAAATGTGTCACCCTGTTGATATGATACTCGGTGGCTTATTTCTATGTCTGCTTTACTTTCTCTCTTCTTCCAGTAAGGAAGAGAAAATGTTTTGTTTTCTTCCTCTTCCCTGCATAACCTCTCTTGCAAGCTGCTCTTGGCATTCAGTAATGGCAGCTTCCTGTTGGAAAGTCGGATAAGAATAGTTATAGAACAAGAGGTACCATGGAGACTGTAGAGGAACTCCTTTTGCAAAGCACTGCTCATATATTATTAGCTAGTTTTTGAGATGAAAATTAAGAACAGCCAGGGGTGGTGGTGCATACTTATAATCCCAGCACTCAAGAGGCTGAGGCAGGAAAATCACCATGAGTTTGAGGCCAGCCTGGGTTGCACAGTGATTTCAACACCAATCTGAACTACATAGTGAGACCCTGTCTCACAGCAAACAAACAAACAAAAAAAATTAAGGAGAAAGTATGCCTTAACCTGGTAATTCCCAGTCCATCAGGAGAAAGTATGCCTTAACCTGGTAATTCCCAGTCCATCTGGGTTGTATACCCGTCATGAACAATGGAATTATTTGTGTAGGTAAAAAGCATCTTATGGGCAACTTTCATTATCTATATATTGACTGGGTAAAGGGTAACTAAAGGCAAGTGGACGTCTTTGCTTTTAAACATAAAAATGATCTTTGAAAACCTCTACCATAAGCTTCAGGAGTCCTGATACCCTAGGATTTACTAATCATCTGACAACAGAGGCAAGTTCTCACGCCTCGCTGCACCCCTCTTCTATTTCAGTGGATTTCAGTGCTGAGATAAAGACTTTGGAAATTGCCTCCACCTTTTAGAACAGGGTCAAGACAGCGCTTCTAGCCCAGAAATGCATTACACACTCCTTGTAATACTGGCAATCCAAGATCTAGTTCGTTACAGAACATGCTGTAAAAACAAGAACGGACCACACTCCCACTGCAGAAATATTTACTGCCATAATGGAAATATTTATTCTGGAAAACAGTGTAGCAGTATAAAATAATTTCAGGCTAAAAACAAAAACATAATTTCTTATTTCTTTTCTTCCTGGCAAGATTTTCCTGAAGAAAATACAAGGTAGTTACTCAAAGGACCAATCCTGTGATTCTCAGAAACATTTGCTGTTCAGGATTCAGCCCTAAGGTGTTAGGTCTATTATAAATATTTTTCATTTGCTTGTTTTATAAGCTAACTCAATTTATCTCCATTCTTTTTTTTTTTTTTTTTTTTTTTTGGTTTTTCTCCGGTACCAGGAACCGAACTCACGACCTTGCGCTTGCCAGGCAGGCGCTTTTGCCACTGAGCTAAATCCCCAGCCCCTTTTTTTTTTTTTTGAGACAGGGTCTCACCGTGCAGCTCACACTGGCCTTGAGCTCACTTTGTAGCCCAGGTTGTCTCAAACTCGCAAAGATCTTCCTGCCTCAGCCTCCTGAGTGCTGGGATTACAGGCATGCACCACCATGCCTGGCTGCTATCTCCATTCTTTTTGAAGAGAAATAAGAACATAGGCTTTTCCTTTTAATAGACAAAAACAAAACTGAATTTCAGAACAGTATAACCAAAACCAGGTATCCAAGGCAAAGCTGAACACGCATCAATTGTTTAAAAGTGTGCAAGTATAAAGGCAGGGGCAAACTGCCCTGATCCATACTCTAAAGAGTCTGCATGTTATATATACCATCCTCAGAGCTGGGCTTGTCAAACTGGGATTATGGAAAGAAATGTGCTTTCTTTTGTCCTCCCACACACAAGGTGAGGGCCAATAGTATTGGTTAGAAACGTCTTAAATTTTAAAAGTTGATATCATCAGCTTCCACAGAGTCGTAGTAGTTAAAAGGAAGTTCAGACAATGCAGGCAGTTACAAAGGAGTGGAACAACAAGGATGTGCTTGAGAAATAAGGAGCCTCTCAAGAAATCCTGTGGGGAGTGAGCAGCCTTAGTCTAGAATATAATCCTCCATCTCACCAATTTGACCACACTGTATTTTGTGGTGTGTGTGTGTGTGTGTGTGTGTGTGTGTGTGTGTGTGTGTGTGTGTGTTTAATCTTTTTGAGACAGAGTCTCACTATGCAGTTCAGGCTGGCCTTCAATTCACTATGTAGCCCAGGCTGACCTTGAACTTGGAGCAGCCCTCCTGCCTCAGCCTCCTGAATGCTGGGATTACAGGCGTGTGCCACCATACCCATCTTTGACCACACTGTTTAAAAAGAGTTAGTTTTATATGGCTTTCTGGTTTGTCGACTTGAACATAACCAAGTAAAAAGGGAACTACTGGAGCCCTAATTCTTTACACTTTCCATTAACAGACTACCCACAAAGTCCATTAGCCATTTTTAGTACTGCAATTTTCATTTAAAAATCTGAATTTTAAAAAAAGAGAAGAGTGTAAGGGTATACAAGTAAATATAAGAATGATGTTTGTTTAAATAAACTGTCATTAGTACAGAAACATTAACATAGAAATACCCTAAGTAATCATCATTAGGAATTGGCTAAGTACGTACCTATCAAGGCATGAAGCAAAACCATTAAATAGAATGAAACAGCTTTAATCATGCTATCATGAAGTATTTCCGTGACAGTGTTCAGTGAAAAACAATGGATAGAACATATAGAATGTGAAACAATTTATGTAAAAGAGAAAATGGTGAAAAATTTGGAAGGGGACCCAGCATCAGGAGGAGATGGAGAGAAGGGAATTATTACTTTTTGCTTTTTTTAAAACTTTTTACTTTATACCTTTTTATAATATTTAAATTTTTTCTTATAAGTATGCATCAAATTATAAAAAAGAAAAATGACACCTGGGAAAAGACAATAAATGCACAAAAAGCAAATAGCTAAAGAAAATAGATATTTGTATGTTCCATTCTGCTATTTTAGAATTTTATGTCATGGTCATGTTATATATGCTTTTTAAATAAAGTAAATTTTCTATATAAAATTTTGAAAACGGTGCATTTTTTTAAAGAAATCGTCATCACCTAACACTAAACTGATCTCACTGTAATGCTGTCTTCATGAATAAATGAACCCAGACTTCTGTTACCATCACTCCATCCTTAATAGACAGAAATACAATAGTAGACAAAATACATGTGCATTAGACACCATTATTTTTAGTTGATTGTGAAAATATAGAAAGGTAGGCAGAGAGCAAATGACCCTCTGGAGTAATGAAGCCTAGGTGATTAGAACTATAAAGTTCTCGTTTTGAAGGAAAGGAAATCATCTTTGTGGTGGTGAGGTATGTCTGACTTCAAGGAGTTGAGAAAACTAGACTGTCAGGTAAAAATTGCCCTTTCACGCACAGAACCAAATTTACCCTTTCCAGCTACTGCTGTACCCACCACTTCCAACCTCTTGTGCAGGCAATGCTAAATTTCTTCTAAGCCAGATCTTCTCTACAGAGTTCTATGGAAGAGGGAACCACTAACTTTAAGCTGAAACCTTACATCACAACATTTCTCAGATCCAGGGAAAGTGTCTTGGGTTTACTTTTAGGAATAAATAACCAACCCTGGATATGGGCAGGGGGTGGGATGGTGGGGGGGAGGGACACACATAGGAGATAGGATGGCCAGAAATCAGGGAACACGGGGAGAAGGGTTAGCGGGGGAGAAGGGAATATTTTGGGGAGATATCTGTTAATTTTCACCCAGGATTGGCTACAGGTTGAGTATCCATTATCTGAAATGCTTAGGACCATAACTAGTTCTGATTTTGGAGTTTTTCACATTTTGAAATATTTATATAGATATTGCCCATTGAGTATCCCTAATCTGAAATCTCAAATGACCTGAAATACAACATTTTTATCATTATGCTAGTGCTAAGAGTTTCAGATTTTAGAGCATTTTGGATTTTTGGATTAGGGATAATCAACCTGTAACTCAATACAATTCTGGTGCTACTCACCCATGAGCATCAGGCTCCACAGGCTTGGAGAGGCAGACCTGGAGGTACAGCCGTCGGCAGCAAATGAGTCCCCGCAGCACCCCGTCCTCCAACCAAACGGTCAAAAATTAGTCTGGTCCTCAGGCTTGCTGATTCACTACAACTCACAGAACTGAGGAAGACACTGTAGGATGTTCCTCACGTTCAGTGATGTTAATGTCCCGACAAACTCACTGTAAGATGAATATGCACTTAATACATCTCGCATCTTAAATACCATGGTTTAACAACATAGTGCATTGTACAGGATTAGTGTCCCCTCATGACGGTGGCTGACTGGGAGCTGTGGCTTGCTGCCTCTGTATCAGGACAGAGTAGCATGGAATATGTCACTAACCCAGGAAGAGACCAGCATTCAAACGATGGTTTCTATGCATGTACGTTGCTTTCATATCATCTTAAAATAAAAAATTGTACATCAACCCATCATAAGGTGGGGACCATCTACTTCTTACAGTTTTATAATATGGAATGCACATAGCCTAAGGTCTAGGAGGACGTGCAGAACTCCACACCCTCTCCTTTGGGAGTGACGACTTGTCAATGTCCTAGTGCATCGGTGCCTTTAGCCACCATAAGCTCTTCTGAGGCTTCAGGGGTCGCATTATGTAGGCACGATTGATTAAATCCTCGGCCGTGTGAGGATTGAACTCAATCTCCAGCCCACCCTCCTCCCTGAGTGTAGGCTCCCCAGGGTCCCAAGCCCCTAATCAGGTGCTTGGTCCTGCTCTGGACTCCCTCTCATTCTGAAGCTCTCTAGGGACCTGCCCTTGTACCTCATCAACTCAACAAAGACACTTGTCACTTAGGAAATTTTAAGGGTTTTTGAAGCTCTGTGCCAGGAATAGAGACAGATATATTCTTTATAATACCTAACGCCCCGAGAGCCCGGGAACTAAGGACCATCTAGTTATGAGGCCTGAGGTGAGGGCGTGAGGTAGTAATATCGCCCCAACTGTAAAAGGTTGGAGACAAACACCTGCTCCTTTCAGTACAGCGGTACATTATGCTAATTTGCAGGGCTTATTGTAGAAGCCCTTCCTGTACTCTTTCTTAAATAGAAAAAGGGTAAGACTTCTTTTATGGTTTCCAAGGGTTTTTATTCACTTGTATGGTAAACTAGGGGCAGCAAGAGGTACCATGCTTCAAATGACGATCAGCCAGTTGGAGTAACAGGAAAATTGTTTTCCCCTACGTACCTCACCCCATCCGCCCAACTTTCCTGTCTCCAAAGAGCAATGAGAGCCGCTGCTTCCTGCATCAGTAGCATCATTAGCACTGCAACTGTGGAACAGAAAATGGAGGCACTTCCCCACTGGTGAAAGCTAATAAATCTAAGGAAAGCTGTTTGTCTTCTGCTCCATGTGTTTATCATTTACCATT